TAATATTTAATATAATTAAAAAATTACTCATTAAAATCCAACTTCGTTTAATTTAATTACATTATAATTTATAATATTTTATTTAAACTTAACTTTTCGTTATTTAAAGATTTCATAAAAAATTTAAAACTCATTCTTTTCTTATGAGTTACTCTCTTGTGAAACGTAAAAAAATACTCATCATAAGAAATCTAAAAAACTTAAATTATTAAGAAGTAACAAATATTATTTATTTTAGTAATTATATATCATATAATATTTTTTAAATTTTAATTAATAATTAATAAAATTTATCGTATTTTATCCATAGTACTTTTAAGAAATAAATAACTGTTTTTAGGATTTTTTTTTTTTTTTTTTTGTAATAATGGATGAATTTATTTCTTGGGGAAAAAATGGTTTCATATTAATGATTGAATCTGTATTGTTCTGAATGATTGATGTTTACTTGAATTATATTCCTAAAAAATCCTCATCTATTCTGTTTTAATTGTAATTTCAGGTGGAACCCAAAAGCCTACAATGCCTTTTGTGGGGAGCCCCGAATTATTGAAAAGCTCAAAGCCTTTAGTGAAAAGTACGGGGCCAGTACAAAGGTATGATTGATAATCTTTACTTTATGGACTTTCTATCAAAAGTAAGTGTTGATGGATCCATGATCCATGAAATAATAGCAATTACAAATAAATGCCACAAACATTTAATTTCATATGTTTCAAATGATTCTGAAAAACTTTGCAAGTGTATAGCAATCTTGCTGCTTTATCTTTTGATGATGTTGTAACTAGTATATACCATGGAATTTGTGTTTTAACAATTTTAATTATGTGGGCAACTTTGGAGGAGGTATATATAGATGTTATGTTGCATTTATACTTTTGAAATTTCTAGTTATAGAACTGCTAGTGTTTAACATTTTCTTAACCTGCAGAACCTTGAAGGTAAAATGATTCAAAGAGTGGGAATAGAGGGTGTCATTGCCGTGAATTCAAGCAGCTTGGGAGGTATGGTGAATTCAACTAGCTCTGGGGAAGTGGGGATTTTGCAATTGTTGCTACAGCAAGTTGAACCTTGGCATGGGCTAAGGCATTTTGGCGCACTTTGCCAGCCCACCTGGGGTTGCAACTTTACTCCCTTAATTTTTGTGGGCTAACTCTTTTGTTTTGAATGTGACAGCAATGGGAACCCCATTTGAGCGAGCAAGGGAATTAAAGAGAAAGAGAGAGGAAGAACTGGATGGAGCCCAGCAACAATTCAGCGAGGACAATTTTCTGGAGGTATGTAGTTAGTAAACTGAAGCCCCTCTCTTCCAAGTTCTTTTTGCATTGAATTATTTCTTTGAGGTTCCTGTCTTGCAGTCCGCTACAAGGTGAACTGTAATACAGTTTTTGCTATTTCTTTTCTCTTTAATTGATTATTTTCCAACTTCAGGAAGCTGCACCTCAATTTGCAGCTGAAGATGAAGCTGAAGCTCAATTGGCA